AATTATATTATAAAAGTAAATTGTCGAGAATTCCTAAAAATTGTTTTTACGGTATTTTTTGACATCATCCTACAATATGTGTTTGACTTTATTGCCCTAGAGTGTTATATTTTTTGACGCGATGCGCTATGAATCGTCCTTAATTTCCCATTGAAAAAGCGGCATTTTCACAAAATCCAGTGATTATCGATTTTCTCCAAAACTAATCGATATTTAGCAAAATGAACCATGCAGTGTTTTGTTTTACATTGAGGACTACCTAACGTGAGATTATGGGCCAAATCAATTTTTGAGCTGTTGCCGCGAAATTTTAAAAATGTTTGAATTTTGGTAACATTTGCTCTTAAGGCGCCACACCCAATCATTGTGCTTTGCACGCCGTTGTTTATGTTATTATCCGTGAACTTTGAAAATTTTTCTCACAAACACTCGAAATGGCAAAGAATACCACAACGGTAGTTTTTTTTGTCATTATTTTCATGGCTAGAATAGGGAAAGGCTAGAATAGGGAAAGGCTCTTATCGCCCAGAGTACTACTAAACCGCTGTTTTGGAGGAGCCAAACTGACGTTTTCTGTCTGGAGAACAGAGACAAAATAGGAAATTTTGTAAGACGGGAAAACAACAACTGCACATCGTACCACCATATAATCATTATTCTCGGCTGAAATATCAGACTCAGAGAGTATATTCTTGGACTCCACAGCGCTCGATAGTGAGAGGTGTAACAGAGAACCAACCTTTGACGTCCAAACGCTCGTAATTTAGACCGTGGAATACTTGAAATTTTAGTCTTGTCAGTCACCAGGCACAAATAAAATGAATTGATTCGTAGGCCGGAGAAGCGCTACGCTTCCTACGGATAAATTCGTCACGCTCCACGTTTAGTAAAACTTATGGCGTTTTAAAATATGCGTAAAGAATAGAGGATATCAAGATGAAATTTTAGAGAAACGTCTCTCTCAATTTGAATTCACCGCTAGAGAAAGGTGCGGGTGACTCAAAAACTTAGTTAGGATTAGGCTTCAGATCGATTGTAAAAGTTTCCCCGTCTGACGGTCACCCAACCGCCTCCCGGTTAACTCAATGGATGGAGCGCTGGACTGTTGTGCGGGAGGTCGAGGGTTCGAGCCCCGGCCGGACCAACACTCAGGGTCTTAAAATAATTGAGAAGAATTTGCTCCCTTTCTATAACATCAAGAAATGGTTAGATATTCTAGTCTTCTCGGATAGGGACGAATAAAGAGAGGCCCTTCTCCTGCAGGGTTGGGGTAGGAGACGTTAATTTCCCACACACGAGATTACTGTGTGATGGATGTCCTTCCCTGGGGTGGGATGAGTGGATTTATTGGGCCCGCAGTGATTGGTGCAAGCTATTGCGGTGTCCATGCCGGTTGGCGAAGCTAAATAAATCTATAAATCTAAATCGAGAGGAGCTTTCTGTTTGACTTTTCTCCGAAATACTTTATTGCAAAGCCTTTGCGAACTCGGTGCTCGTTTTCTTGCCAAATCCTTAAACTGTCTTTCGCTCATTCCATTCCTTTAAGATATCCTTTCGATGGCTTTTTTTTTTCGCAAACATGGAATAAAATGACTTAACATACACAGCAAATAGACGATGGACATTTAAGAAATTAGATGAGGGTACAAAAATCTGGTTCTCGATCAAGATTACAAAGATTTAGTCGAATAATATTACACATAGCCTTCCTTTTCTGTAGTTAGGAAATACTGAGAATGGCAACTACCCCGCAGTGCATGTTGAGCGTGGCCCTTAAAAAGAGGTGAAAATTACAGTAATTAGCGGGGAAAAATTTCGGCACCTTGACAAACAACCGCTTAATACTGTGTGACCGCCAAGAGACAGAATATGAACTGTTTGATTTCTTGGTGCTGGCTTAAAACCATACCGCTTAAAAAAATTGCACTTGTTTCCTCTCTTGTGGTTCATCAACTTTAATGGTTTTAAAGTAGCTCATGTGGTTCACGCTGAAAACCAAGGTCTGCACAATATTTACTCATGAGAACCAGGCTGAGGTGGCAGTCTCCCATTTAATCTCTTACAAATTAATAATATATATCTCTGAAAATTTTTCAGATCTACGAGGTGAAATTTCGGAATGGCAGAGTGAATTGCCATTTGTTCAAGCTAAAATAACCAGTTTTTCCCGCTACGCCGTTATTTGTCGTCTTAAATCCTACAGACTTCGAAAAGAGGATTCAGGGGAGCGTTCAGAATTAAGAATCAGTGTGCCAGATTTCCCAGGTGCTTGTTTGTCAATTCCTGGTACCCGGTTTCCTTCAAGTATGGACCTTGTTGTCAGGGTAAAAGCACTTTATATAAACAAAATACTCTCCTCTTGACTTCTTTTCTGTTTCTAAATTTTTTTTGTTTGTGCTTTCACACGTTAACTTAAACTTCATTCTTTACAGTAAAATGCTTGCACACCTCATGGTATTTTACAGATATAGTCATTAATCAACCTTACATGGCTATGACTTGAAGCTGCAATTGCTGGCGTTATATGTCCAGTATCGAATATAAAAAGAACCGGCCGTAGCGTTGAACTGGGTACTAGTGACTTTAAGCAGTCAGGACGGCAACGCCACGGAAGACGTCGATTAAAAAATGAGTTTCCACTTTTAGTTAGAATTTCGAAAATGGCTGCATGTGTTTACCATCTCATAGGGCGCCAGACCTCAAACTCAACCTAACGCATAAAAGTAGCGTTGAGTTCCAAATGTAAATTAAAATAACTTGCCGCCGCGGTTTAGCTTCACAGACGACGCAAATTTTGGTGATTTCACGTTGTTGTTTTGCAAAGGACGGCTAAGAAATGTACAAAGTTTGAAAATGCACGTGCTGGGCTATTGTTCTGCCAATTAGATCTATTGTTTTTCCACGTTCTCGTTGCCGTAGCCGTCGTGGTTTGCTTAAAGTCCCTACTAATAGCGCTAACAGGTCATACAGGCGGAGGTAGACCGCCTTTATTTGATTTTTATTGAAACTCCTGCAGTAGTAAATATTATAAGGAAAAGAATAGGGATACTAAAGGCTCTCTGAAATCAGCAGTACCCTCTTTGTATATGTGTATTTCTCCCCGAAAGATCTGAAATCTTAATTAGACGAGCTGTGCACCTTAGTCGAAAGAATGTCAATGATTTCGTATACTTACTGGGTCATTAAGTCGGAAATAAATATTGAATGAATACGTGAATGAAGAAATGTATGTGGCCACATGCCTAAGAATTCTTTATAATGTTCACAATAGTCGAATTCTTTGGATTTTTCCATAATATGCTGCCTTTTGAGGTTTTTGCCTTGAATTAAAGCTGATTTCTCTTAGGTGCAAGATGTTTCAAGTGATTGTTTCGAAGAAAAGGTTCTTGTTGGTCCTGTCGTTCATGTTACGTGCACACCGAAAGTTGAGTTAAGTGATTCTTTGCAAATTAGTCTGAACTTTCCTGTCTCAATAAGTGTACCTATCGACTCGCATGAACATCAGATTGATTTATCGAAAATGTCATCAGGACACGTGAGAGTGTTTTTCCGTGGTGGCACAGATACGACACGCAAATGGGTCGACTGGACAAAGAAGTTGAGGGTACCACCAAAACTAGAAAAACGGATCGTGACATTTGAAGTAGATGGGACTGATACATTTGAAATCGATCACTTCTTGGAGTAAGTATGCAAACTTCTTTTTTCCTTAGATATACGAGTTATCTGCGAACTGTGACTTAAACGATAAAATGAAAATACGTTGCTAGAAACGCAATAAATTGATTCAGTTACCTAACTTCTCCCAAGTTTTCCAAATGTCGCCAAGTATCATAGGTCATTGTGCCTTTGTTTCTTGCTAGATGTGCGGTTATACTTGATCCTTCTACGAAACCTCTGGATGCTGAAGAGCTTTTCATCGTGGATTCTTCCTGTCCGCAACAAGTGGGATTTCTTGCTTCTTTTCAGAAGGAACAGAAGGAAAAGCAACCAAGTCAAGAACCAAAGCAAGGATCACTGACTCTTTGCTGTTTTCCAATCCACATGAAAACCGAGTTGAGAAAAGAGATATCATCAGAGCATGGTGTCCTCCTCTGTGGCGAAGCCAAGTCAGCAAGACAACTCGCTAAAGGGGATCAGGCATTCTTTTCTTTGTCAAATGGCCTCATTCCAGTTGATGAAGGAATTGATATAGATTACACCCCCGTCAAGTAAGTCCTTGAAAGAGATCAAATTAATACGTAGTTTCAATGCTTTTTGATCATCTACCTTAGTTTCAGATCACGTTGAGGATGAGTCTATTACTCCCACTGAATTCACAGTGGAATGCATTCCTGAAGAATCGTTATTTCTTTTTTAGACTGTGGACAGATGAAATTATTAAACGGGTTTAGAGGCTGAGTTTGGAAGGAGTTTTTAAGTTAAAAACGATGTAACTATCGTCCGCCACATGGCAAAATTATTACATGGGCGTCGCGAAACATTTTTCACAACAGGACTTGCATGTTTACACGAATTATAACAAGGTCCTTGCCATAATTGTTATGTTTCCTGGAAATCCACCTCACTGAATAATCGCAGTGAATTGACTGATATCCCAACTTTTCGGTCGATATAGTCCATAACATGATAAGCTGGCAATCTTTCATGGGTTAACAAAACGCAAGTTTAAAATTTTCCGACGAAATTTTGCTTTAACACGAAAACACTATGGTCTACAATTGCCAGCTAAATCAAATATTTGCGTCTTCCACGATTTCTCCTTGAAAAGGTCTTCATCGAGAAACTTCTCCAGTTCGACAAAAATGGTGAAACATTTCTTCTTCTATATCACTAAAATACCGTTTGAGAAACATGTCATGAGTTCAGTGTTGCTCTTTTCTCTCTTCTCTCATAGGTTTACTGGAAACTACCCTTCTAAATTTAATTTTTCGGCTCGTTTCGAGGCACCTACGATATTTTTTTTTAAAAGGGAAAATGGCAAGGAAGGACAAGAAAAACTTTGCTCTCTGTCTCTTCATCCAGTGGCACCGTTTGAGGTATGAAAGGGACTTTATGTTTGATTCAGTCTGCAATCTTTCAAAATGACTGTTGAAGGGGCGAGAACTATTTCGAGCTCAGTTTTAACTCAAGCAGACCATTGAAACAGTTCTGTAAACCTGCTAATGATAATTACCTCTTGGAAATTATTTACTATAACGGCGGGGAAGAACGAATGATATTTTGGAAAGGATGCTATGCTCCGTGATATTGCACCGATACTGTTAATGCCAAATAGTTTTTCAGTTTTGTATTTCCTTTCGTCATTTTGTGTTAAGTTTCGTGTCTATCGGAGTTTCTTTGATATAAATATTTCCGATTTCCTGTGGTCTAAATTACGAAATATTTTTTTTGTCACGCATTGAAAATGTTAATATTATTATCTGTGATGTTCTCAATCTTTTCTAGTGCTCAGTAGTTCTTTGTACCACGAAGTATAGCTATTCATAGGCGTCATTTGGGAAAAATTTCAGTTCAGGGTGGCTTTTCATAGCGTTAATATCAAGCATCTCTAAGGTACAGCATCAAAGTTGTAAAATCCCTAACACAGATACGGAAGTAAGTCTTTTACCCCTTCACATCTTTTAATGGAATTCAGAGTTATTTCCAAAGTTTTGGGTAGCTTTATCGTATTTGAAATACAGTTTCTAGTTTTATTTACTTCTTAGGGTTTGAAACCACTTCATACTACTTTAAACCGCTTTATACCGTTTTAAACATCGCTTTACACGGATCATTTACCACGATGAAAGTGTGCTTGTAGTTGAAAATACTACGACCTATTTCCAAACGTTTATTTCAAACTTATAGCCCTTCCGATAAAGTTTTTCAATGAGTTTTAAAAACATTTATAACATAACCAAAGTAAAGCGCCCGCTCTGATTGGTCAATTTAGCGTCCTCCATTTTCCCCTGGGTGTACGTGTGCAAATACAAAGACTATTTTTCCGCGCGCGCTTGTTTTTTCTGGTCACGTAAGATTTGTTTAATAAAAGGGAACTCTACAATGTATCAATGTTATGTTATAAACAAATGGTAAACACCACAGCGTACACTATTGAGTTATGAATGCACTTGGGAGGTTTGCTAAGCACTCAAGAAGCTAGAGTAGCTCTCGGCTATCGCCTCGAGCGACTCTTACGCTTCTTTCGTGCTTAGCAACCTCCCAAGTGCATTCATAACTCAATAGTTTCGCCTCGAGCGACTCTTACGCTTCTTTCGTGCTTAGCAACCTCCCAAGTGCATTCATAACTCAATAGTTTCGCCTCGAGCGACTCTTACGCTTCTTTCGTGCTTAGCAACCTCCCAAGTGCATTCATAACTCAATAGTTTCGCCTCGAGCGACTCTTACGCTTCTTTCGTGCTTAGCAACCTCCCAAGTGCATTCATAACTCAATAGTTTCGCCTCGAGCGACTCTTACGCTTCTTTCGTGC